GTGGGAATCATCACTCCTTATTGTCCATCCGTCACTACAAGCTGTTAGAAGGATGGTTGGGGGGCTTTACATAGCCCAGGACCGCTCGAGTATCCTGAACCAGGTGGATTGAACATTGTCTTTTTTCCAGTATTGTTCTTTCCTCAAACTGCCAGGTATTTGTATGGTTTCTGAATGATCTCTTCTTCAAAAACCTTCTCTCAAAAAAGTGTCATGGTATTTTCTTGGTTTTGTTGCTTGTTTTGTTTTGTTTCCCTAAATGCACTTGTCTTTCTCTAGCTCTGTGAAAGAAGTGCAGAGGGGGAGCTGAATCACAGGAAGATGGAGGCAGCCTGCGATCTGAGAGATGGGGAAAGTTGATAAAGCATCTTCAGAACAAAACTAACCAAAGCAAAAACCGCCTGCAGAAACCACCAATCTGTGTGGGGTTTGAGACCGGCTGCCCTGCATTGCTTCCGTGGAGGAAGCAGGAGATCCGAGTGTGGCTCTCAGTTGTTACACATGGGGCCCTGACCACCAAAACCCCCTTCCTCTCTGTGTCCTTCATTGGGAAGGAAGGTTGAGCAACTCGCTGAAAACCCTGAAATGGAAGGGTGAGGTGCTCGAGCCTCTGCATGGCTGAGCTGGGCTGCTGGTTTGCAAGGAACCTGCCCGTTGCGTGGGAAGAGGCTTCCCGGGGCTTCTGCAGGATGGTGGCAACACTGGGCTTGCGCGGATGCTTCTCCTAGTCGGTATCCCTAGGGAGTGTGGCCCCGTGTAAGGCAACGTGCCCAGGCCTCTGTGGGAGCCTCCAGTGCTTGGTGGCCGTGTCGCCCAAATCCCAGTGCACTTGTGCAGGTTCCCAGCACGTATCGTGAGGAGCTGCACCTCTTCAGGGAGGCTTGGAGGTGTCTGTTCTCGTTGTTTTGTTTTGCTTTTGGCACTTGCAAGCAGAAGAAAGGATTTTCCTGCAGAAAGCAGTATGTGACAGCTGCAGAAATACTGATTTTTAGCAGCTGTGGACTTTTTTTTTTCTCTCCAAAGAGCATCATTCCTGTCCTTCTTGCAGGTGGTCTGCTCCGTGATGCTGGTTTATCCTTGGCTCCTGAGCTTACCAACTCCCACCTAGGATGGTCCTTGTGAATCCAGAGTGCGTTCTGGGTGCTCTGCCCCTCCACTTCATCTGTTGCCACTGTGGGTGTGTGTCGCGGAACGAGTGTGTTTCCCAAATCTGGGAAYGCTCCCGTGGCGCCGCGGAGAGCTCTCGTGCGCTGCGCGTCGCGCAGGTTGGTGGGACRCGAGGCCGTAGGCAGGGACGGCGCTGCAGACTGAAGGAGGTGCCTCTTGTTCAGGGAAGCGGAAGGTGTCTAATTTTGAAGCTACCTGATCAAAATGTTTTCACTTCATTCAGTCTTCACCTTATCAGATTCGTCTTGGGGTTTCTCTGTGGGCTCCTTGGCTTYGCAGGGTTTCTTTTTGTATTTTTGTTGTAGGGTGCTTCCCACAGCGCCTTGGGAAGTCCTGTCCAAGGAACTGTGCGCAGAGCAGCCCCTCCTCGTTCCCGGGAATGCTCTGCCACCCCTGTGATCTCCAGCGTGCTCTTCCCTTCGCGACCTCTGCCCAGTTTGTCCTTTCATGACTTCAGCAGGTGACCCTTGGCAGAAACACGTGGCTGGTGAGTCAACAGGACAGATAGGGAGGATATTTTAACAGCTGTTTTGGATTTGCTGTTCGAGCCGTATGTACTTGCTCTGAGGCAGTTCTGTGTTTCTTTTTTTTACATAATGTAGTGAAATCATTTTTGCTTTGAACACTGTGACTTGGTTGTGTTGTTCCTGCACATCCCCAGTCAGGCTGGCGTGGCGTGGCATTGCACTGGGGCCATTATAACTCATGTATGTATGGTGACAGGCACCATTGCAGAAAGAAGTTGCAAACCCATTGCTTGTGATTTATTTGTATGAGCCGCATCCCTTGCTCTGGACTTGTGTTCAAGTGGAGGAGGCAGAAAGAAGCCTTCTTGTGCTTCATGCAGCACCCAGAGTGTCATCTGGACTGCATTAAGGTGCGACTGTGTCTGATTTTCCCTGTGCTAGACTTAGAAATGAGGTGTTTCTCGTCTGTTACATTTATAACCTGTGTGCTGTGTTTGTGTACTGCACATGCAGCCTCTTTAAAACATAAAGGAACTGCTGTGATTTGCTAAAAAACCTTTAACATTATTTTGAGCTTGTAAATATGTGTGAGTGCTAAGGGAAGGGGAGGATGACTTGGAAAATATGCAAGCTGTACGTTAAGGCAGTACTTTCCAACAAGATCACTGAACCATCTCCATTAAAGAGTCACTGCTCCGCCCTATCTCCACACTGCTGCTTGTTTACTGACCTGTGAGTGCCTGACAGCGTGGGGAGGGAGCAGCACCTCTGCCCTGTGTGTCTTGAATCCCCTGCTGGCAGAGGGTGGCTGTGGTGCTTAGGATCCTCAGGAGCTGCGTGCTGGGCACCTGGCATGATCACCCCCTCCTGCAAGGGGATGAAGTTTTAGCCACTGGCCTCATTCCAGCCATTTAACCCTCCACAATTAAAAGCTTCTTGGCCATGTTTTCCCTTTGAAAAGAACTCGTTTTGGACAGGATGTTAATTTGGATTTGTTCTTTTCCCAGGAGGGTCTTTCAAAGCTGACTGAAGCTCGACTTGCATTGTGGTGATGGAAGAGCGCTCGGCTGCCGTGCATCTGTCCAGGGCTCGTGGTAGGCAGGAGAAATCACAGGACTAGAGTTTTGTGGGCAACTGGAGCTGTTCAGAGGTAGATCACAGTGCCTGGGATGATGCTGGTGGCTTTGCAGCTGCTTTCTTGCAGGTGGAGCCATTGCATCTCCAACTTGAGTCAGCACAGCGTGTGTTTTGCTGAGTATGAGTACAGCATTTGTTAGGGAATTGAAAATGTTGCATGAGRGCAGAGAGACTTCACTTTGTAGGCTGTAAAGCCTTATTATATGTACGAGTCCCAGGTTGAAGGATCTGGAGTTCAAAGCGTTTGTTGTCTGTCAGGAATAAGGATCCGTGGGCTGCAGGAGAAGGGCTCCCATTGCTGCTGCTGCAGCAGCCCGGGCCAGGCGTTTGCGCCACTGCGAGCGGCTCCGCGGCCTTGGTACCCCTGAGAACCTGGAGGGGATCCTAGATCCTAGTGAGGCTGGTGCTGGCTGGCTGGAAGGCAGGCGCCGTCCCCTGCGTGCGGGCTAGATGGGGCTCGTGAGCTGCCTTTCCTTGCGGGAGCTGGAAATGTTTCCTGCTGCCAGCTGGGAAAACCGAGGCAGGAGGCTGCAGCTGGAGCAGGGGAGCTGTGGGAAGCTGCTGTTGTTTCCTCCGGGGTGCAAGGCTCTGAGCAGTGTGCAAGCCGAGGTCAGGGTTGCCTGAAGAAGTAGGAACACTCAATACGTTTTCCAGGACCTTTGAGAGCTGAATAGTCCCTGTCTCTTGCCCATATAGTCCAACGTGGAGTTGCATGTTGCATGTCCTCTGTGAAGAGTGGAGTAGCCATTTATATTTTACTCTTTTCCAGACAGGGTAGTTCTGAGGCCAAAACTCTGTTACCGCCATTYAAGGCTTTACAAAGCAGGGCAAAAACAAAACTTGGAAACAAAAGTTCACTGGTTGAGACAGCAAAAAGTGACAGGCTGGAAGTGAAAGCTGGTAAATATTACTGGGCTTTATTGGAATCCAGAAGCTCTAACTCAGGGCAGATCTTCTTGCAAGGATGGCTACATCAGGGTCTTAGTTCACCTAAGAGCCTGGATGTTTTTTGCTGTTATTTATACTRTTTGTACATGCTGCTCACTGTGTTACGACCTGTACATCTCCTGCAGAGTTCTGTAGCCTTCTGAGTGTCAGACAAAGCTGGACCCCAGCTCGCTTCAAAAACATTTTTTTTTTCCCAGCTGCAGGATGAGGACTGAGGCTTGTGTTGGGAAGGAAGAGGAGAGCTGTCCTTAGAAGCCCCTTAGAGAAGAGACTGAGCAAAYAGTCTGGTCCAGGCTGGTCTGTCTGAAGTACCTGCTTAGAGAAGGCTTTAAAAAGTCTTGAAAACATGAGGATAAATCCAGGTTAGCAGGTGGGGATCTGCTCTGAAGTGCAGTCAAGTTGGTGGGAGCTGCTCCRGTGGCTTCAAGGGCAAGAGCCCATGTGTGGGGACAGAAGTGTCTTGTGTGTAGTGGTAATGTGGAAAAGACATTGTGTTTTTGCTGTTTTATGTGGGGAGATGAAGACCACTGTGGGTGTGAGACTTCCTCAGCGACAGCTGCTGCATCTGTGTAATTGCTTAACAGATATGAGTTATTGGCCTTTGCTTGTTTTTATATTAAAAGTTTCTTTTTTTTTTTTTTTTTTTATACCATAAGCAAGAAAATCAAAGCAAGAATAAAGCGAGCCTGGTGCTTCATCAGCTGATCTGGTGTAAAAGCAGGGACAGGTTTCTAGGTATATTCCAAGCGTGAGGGACCCCTCGAGCTGGTGCAAAGCCCTCTGCGGAACCTGTGAGCAGTATTTCAGAGCAGTCCAAAAGCTGCAGCACAGCCTGCCTGGCTGCAAGGCCCTGGTCAGCCCTGTGCAGCTCTGCACCTGCCTTAGCTGCCCCTGAGTGTTTGTTGTGCTGAGCTGTCACGTAACACCCAGAAGAGTGTGAACTGACTTCAGAAGAAGGATCCTCTTTCCACAGTTCACGTGCTGCCGCTCCTCCTGGTGCTGTTTTGCAGGCCCGGTTGAATTTGGTTTGACAGTAGTCAGGTGGATCCTCCAAATGAAATTGGAGGAGCAGAACAGAGCTCTCTGTATTCTTGAGTGTTCTTGACTGTAGAAGATGCATCATGTTTCCCATGAATTTGGGAATAGTCTTTTCTATAAATGATTMATTACTTATATACTTGCTTTTGTTTTTCAAATGGATAGGAGTGGGTTTAACAGAACACTTCAGATGCAAACATTTGGTATTAATTGATTATTTTCTTTTTTTTTTTTTTTTAATAGGCATATTGCACTGGATCCAAGAGTGATATAGGAAAGCCCCCTCCTCTACCACAGGCTCCTGGGAAGAGTGGCTTCCCTGCAGGGCCGGCCTTGAAGATGTGGACTGCTCTCATGTGCTTCCTGCTGGTGTCCTTCTGTGTGTGCGAGAGCAGAGTTTCTGTCCTGAGCGAGAGAGGAGCCCGCGTGGTGCGGATCAGCAGGCTGGCCTCGGAGAAGCAGTGCCGGAGAGCGTGCCGGGGCCCTGCGGCTGCAGGTGAGGCTGCTGCCCTTCAGCAGCAGCTCCRGATGGGTTTTTCACTCTGTGAAGGTCTCCTCTGCTCCCCTGACATCTCTTCTTTTTAACTCTACTTGTTTGCAGACATTTACAATTATGGCTTCTGTGTGCAGTCCTGTGGTGCTAAATAATTTCTGACAGCTTTAGTTAAATTGAATCCAGAGGAGCCAATTCCCAGGGCCTTCCCAGCTTCCGTAAGGAGCAGCATGCCATGTGCTCTTGGTGTGCACCGCTAGCGTGCAAGTGGGGTAAGGTCACTTAGCTGAAAGGCTGATGGCTCCGTCCCACCAGATGCTGGCAAGTGAACAGCCCTGTCCTAGGCAGCTGTCCTGCAATGAGAAGTCTTTGCTCACTGGTGTTTTTGTCCTCTTGCCCTAGAAGAAGCCGTAGTTAATGACCCTGTAACTGAACCAGGGGTTAAACAGGACCCTAGGAGGTTAGAGTCTTTCCCTGGTCTCCCTCTGAAATGTCTCTCTCTGAGCTGTCTTTAAAAAAGCATTAAAGTGTTAGATGAGTCAAAGTTGCTCTTGCAAAGGCCCCTAAGCTGCTAAGCCACTAGGGAAGGCTTGTGTTCCCCACAAAGGATCGGATTGCTGTGGTACAGGTGAGAATTTAGCTCATGTGGGTGAATGTGTAATGTTTATTTTAGAACTCAGATTGACAAGGCATCATCAAAATGCCTTTTTTTTTTTAATGCCCAGAGTTTTCAAACCTTTGTTTTAGATGTGTGGATTTCCTCTGTCCTTTTGCAGTGGAAAGCACCTTCGCAAATTAAACTTCMAGTTTAGGAGGTTCAATGTGAATGGGTTTGTCTTCTAGGCCACTAGAGCTCAGAAAACTTCAGCTTCTGCTTTTTCCAGTGGTGAGCCATGCAGAGATGACATGTTCACACTGACTCTGCTGACATTTAGGGTCTGTAATACTACATGTTTGTATTTTCCTCCTGAGAATCTGCAAACATTCTGAAAATGTCATCTTAACCTCATGGTGCCCTTGTGAGGGTAGAAAAGGTGTTATTGGCCAGCTCCTGCAGAGGAGGAAGCTGAGGGACATAAGGAAATTAGTCTAGTCATGGTTGGAAAGGGCAAGAGTGCAAATAACTTCACCCTCTTGCTGACTTTAGCTGTTTTTTCCCTAYTCTTCATCCTGTTCTCTCTTGACGTGGTGTAGGAAGCAGAATGAGTCAAGGTGAGTGTTGGTCTCGGGCAGACCAGAGTAAGCATTTGGAGGGAACAATTTAAAATTAAAGCCCAGAGTGGAGCCTACTCTCTTCTAGGTGAAAGTGGGCAAAATGAGACTGGCTGCGTGGCAAGTGTCTCGCAGTGGAGATGCAGGTTGGAGCCTCTATCCAGATTTTATGCCAAAGGGACCGCTCCTCATTTCGGCTCTAAAGAGGTATTTGGTTGTTCTGGGAAGCAACTGGAAAATCCTGAGTGGTTGGAAACAGTCCTGAGTTGTGCTSTAATCATGCTGACCCCATTATATTCTTGCCTTTCTGAGCTGTGTTAGATGAGCCAAAGCAGAAGAAATGCTGCTGTGGTGTTTTTGCCTTCTCCCATGAGAACTGACGTGATTTGCCGTGGATGCCCTATGAATCTCCACTTGCATAGCTTGTGGGGCAGGGAGGTGGCCCTGGAAATAAGAGCACGTCTGAACATATTCAGTTCTATGAGAAGTGCATTTTAATTTATTGAAGACTGTTAGTCTGTCTTCTGCTCTCTGCAACTATTGGAGTTCTTCATTTGATTGTTTTATGACTTCTCAGTGCCAGTTCTTAGGGGGTTTCAGTCACTTGTTTAACCTTTTCCCAAACCACCAAAATTCCACTTTCCTGCTTTTCTTAGGACTGTCGAAGCCAAATGCAATTGCTAGTAGGGGGATCTCTCAAGTTTGTGCATTTTCCAGCAGCACTTTTAATAACTGTGGTGTAAYGTTGGATGTAAATGTTTTATTGTGAAAAGTTCAACCTCCCCGTAGCTTTAATCCTCGGTGAGGGTAATTGCCTTTGTAGATAAGAGCTTTAAATATAGCCATGTGTACCACACGTGTGAGTGCTCTGCCCTTTCTCACATCTAATTTCTCCTGCTGTCGTACGCTCGAGTCCCCTGTCGTCCACGGATGGGTGGCCAGTTGGACACACATCTGCTTCGTTCCACRCTGATTGCTGCGTTACTGGCTCCTGTGTTTCCTTGTTACAGCACATGTTGCCTCCTAGTACCAGAAATTAATTATATGCTGATAAGATGCTGCATATAATCGCAGTATAGCTTAGGCAGGAAGGGTCTTTGAGGTCTCTGGTCTCTGCTCAAAGCCGAAGTGCCTTMGATCAGGCTGCTCGATGCCTGAGGGAGAGTGTCCACCCTCTGTGGGGGCCCCCAGTCTAGCTTTGACCTCCCAGTGATGGAAGCATTTTCTTCCCTAAGTTTATCTGGAATTTCCTGTGTTGAGACTTCTCTGCTGCCTCCCCCGCTGCCTCGTGCACCATCTCCAAGCACTGGGCTTCAGCTTCTGCCGGGTGCCTGGGGACAGTGGTGGGATTTACTCTCCACTTGGTGTTCTTGAGGCTGATCTCCTCTCAGGCCCTCCCTGTCCCTGCCATCCAGGCTGCCTGCGCTGGACTCGCTCCCGTGTGTCGATCCCTTTCCCTCTCTTTTTCTTTCTCGTGTTGCGGAGCCCCAAACCAGGCGCAGTGCTTGAGGCCTTCTCAGCAACGCTGATCAGAGAAGAGTCAAAGTCTGGTTGTGTGTGTGAGTGCAGACACGCGCTGAAACAAATTAACAAATTAGAAGGGTGCCAGGAAAGGGGGTTCCTGCTGTGATGACTTAGATGAGCTGATCTAGCTCATGCTGGGATCTGACATAGTGAAAGACAGTTTCTGGGATGGCACCCCTGCCAGTGACAGCAGGTGAGGAGTGAATTTCCATCCAACTCAGGACAGTGAGATAAGCACCCTTCCTCTCCTATGGAAAGAGATGAGTGTCGCGTCAGGTTCAGCTCGCTTCCTTTTTTCTTCTCATGAGGACATTTCGGATAAGTGCAAGCATTTAGCTCGGCCCTGGCCAGGCTGTAGTGCTATGTCTCTTTGTCCCTATCTGTGTGGGCAAATTGCTCTCTTGAGGGGGCATTTCTCCCAGGAAGACAAGCAGGGATTTCTGTAGGTGGACTTGAAGCTGCTCTGTTRATTTCTTGACTTTTCCAGATATTTTCACCAAGTTTGAGTCAGATTGCTTTAAGGACAGTCTTCCAGCTGCCAGCTTTTTCATTCTTCAGTTTTTTTTGACATCACAACTGTTAAGTAGAGCATGGTTACTACACTCTGTGTAACAATCCATTTTCTTCTTTYGGCAGAAAGAGTGTTCTTTGTTCAAGTATGGTTTTTAATAGCCCTACTAAGGTAAATTTGATATTGGGGGTTCCATTTTAATTAGCCACTTACCCTCTGCTTTATTTTTTAGGAAACCGCCACTGCAATTGGTCCGTGCCGTACCAGAACCGCTGCATCCTGCTGCGGTGTCGCAAGCTGAGCRCGTGTCAGGATGCCGGGGAACAAGACCTCAACGACCTGCTTGGAGGTAAGGTCGTATTGCAGGATCCTGCAGGATCCTACTCTTAGACCCTGGCTAGCTTTTAGACTGGCTAGACTGGTTAAATGGAAAATGACTTTGCTAGATTTGTTCCGACTCTGCCACTTACACACGTTGTGCATCTGTGAGTAACTTGTGTTGGCCTCTCCGTGTTAAAGGCATCATTCATTTGTGCCATTTGCACCCTACACTTTGTGCTTTGGAGAACAAAGGCAGAGCAGATGTTTTTACGCTTTTCAGGGAAAGGGAACTGACTTAGCCTTGGTTTTCCTGAGATTGCCAGGAGTGCTGTGCCAGAGGCTGCAGRCTGCTTGTATAATCTGGGCAGAGCTAGTAGCAATTGCTCATTGTGACTTTCCATATCCGAGTTTTCAATTTTAATTAAAAGTGACACGATAGCAAAATGGAACTTCTTGGTAATAGGGGAATCAATCTTCTGAAGTAGGTTTTAAGAGTATACAAGCTTTAAAAACAAAAAATCAAACAAGCGAAAGGACAGAGCTTGTTCATGATTCTCTTGAGTTGGCAAGGGCTTCTCTGGGACTTAGCAATTAGTCCTGTGATAAGTAAAGGGGATTAGAAGCCCAGATCACTAGTTCTGAAGGAAATTCTTCTGAAGCATAGGGACGTAAGTGCCTATTTCCAGTCAATTTTGAGGTAAAAAAATATGAATCTAAGCATGAAGACTATGTTTGTGCTATGTAACTGTAAGAGAGCTTGAGATGTCAATCCAAGAGCTTTCACAAGTAAACTTAGCATTTGTACTGCTGCTTCTGTTGAGAAAATGCTTCCRTGTTCTTGCTGTGTAGCTCATCGTACCCCATTTGGGAATTAATTCCTTGTCTGAGTAAATGCTAAGGGTCTGTGCCGTAAAGGGTAGCCCAAAAAGACAGGAAACTGTTTTAATTTTGTTGCTGAGTTTAGGACCAGCTTATTCCAGTATTTACTGCATCATCTTCAGAAGGTCTGTTCTGGTTTGCATGTGGGCATGAGATGTGATTTGGACTTGACAGCTTTATTAATTCTTTTGAAATTCTGTTTTTATCTTTTTAAAGAAATTGTCCTTAGGAAAAGGAGAACAGACTTATTTCACCGCCAGAGATATCCAGAGCAGGTGGAGAAGATGGTAAATGCAGTGGTTGACCAAGCCAACACAGAAAACCTGCTTTCCTCAACAACTTGGACTGTCAGCATTCACTCAAGGCAGTTGCTCAATGTGGACGATAATGTTGGAACAGCAAATGCAGGAAAAACAACTGCAGCTGMTGCTGCCACCACCACAGGGACTGCCAGCACTGCTGCAGCTGCAGCCACAAGTGGTGCAAGTACTTCTGCCTCCACTCCAGTTCCTGGAACAAGTGTTAAGGCTACAACTGCCCCAGTCATTTCTAGTGGTACTCCTAATAAATCCACATTTTCCACTGCCTCTTCTCCAACACGCCATCCCATCACTGCCCCCATTGCCAATAATGTCACCAAGCTTGTGGCCACCTCTGAAAAATCAGGAAATAATAGCTCCAGATCAGAATCCCCTTCTTCTTCCCTTGCTGCTGAGTCTGGAACAAGTCCTGAGGCCACTGCAGGGCAGCACCGGAGCCCGACGACCGGCACCCCCGGCACGACCGGCACCCCCGGCACGACCGGCACCCCCGGCACGACCGGCACCCCCGGCACGACCGGCACCCCCGGCTCTCGTAACGTCACCATGGCCAGAGCGGGCTCACCGGTACCGAGCCCAGCAGCCACCACCCTCATCCCTCTGGATGCCCAAACGTCACTCAGCGCTGCCGCTCGTCCGACTGCCCTCGCTGCCACCGTGAGTTCACGTCCCAGTAATCCAGCACCTAACGGTACGCTGCCAAATCCAGAGCCAGAAGAAAGTACAGCCACAAGGCCCCTGAATAAATYGGCGACTTCTCCGGGCCCTACAAGTGCCATGGTTTCAACAACCGTACCTCCAACCGAAGCTACAACTGGACATGAGACAAAGTCAGTGTCTCCCATCACCTCTACTAAGCAAATGACCACAGCTCCTGCACGTGCGCCGGCCACGACTGCTCCTGCACGTGCGCCGGCCACGACTGCTCCTGCACGTGCGCCGGCCACGACTGCTCCCGGTCCTGCCGGAGCGCGGGACACGCACGAGGACTATCTTCTCATTGCTGCTCAGCCTCTGACTCACTACCTGGTAGACAAAAGTTCGCTTCTTGCAGTGCTTTTGTTTGGTACGGTGTTTTTCATAACTGTCGTAGTTCTCTTCCTTATTCAGGCCTATGAGAGCTACAAGAAGAAGGACTACACGCAGGTGGATTACCTGATCAATGGAATGTACGTGGACTCGGAGATGTGAAYGGGTGGGGATAAAACACAGGGCAGAGCTGGAAAGGAGATGGAAAGCCTGTCTGACTTGTTTTTCTTTCCCATTTGCCTATAAGACAAACTGAAAGTGCTTCCAAATTTACTTCTGGTGCAATTTAGGAGAAATGCCATGTACTGTATTAAGAACAAAAAGKATATATATATATATTTTTATTCAACTGTGCACAGGTTGCGGTAAACAAATAGTCATTTGTAAAACTTTTCCAYGATGCAAAATAGCTGTGGCCATTACTTTTCACTGCAAAACGACCACAACAAGAGGTGAGCAGTCACCTCGGAGAATGCCTGGCGCTTTTTCAGTGGTTTACACTGCAAGTTCCTTGTGTTTTGTAGGTGTCGTGTGTGCTCCCCGCCGYAAAACAGAGCAGGGGAGCTCGCACTTTTGGAGAAGTGCTTGGAACTGGGAGGACAGGATGTATGAAGTGTTGCTGCAACAGGGAACCTCTGCTCGGGTGTGCATCATGTTTCAATGTGCTTCCTGCTTGTAAAGAGGTCTGTTTACAAGGGGCTGTAAACACCCTGTTTACTGCTAACCCAAGGTGGCTTTTTGCCGCAGAGCGGATTATTGTGCCTCTGCACTCACATGATTATTTTTGTATTCACTCAATAAATGGGGCCCTGGAAGGGGCATGTCTTGTTGCAGTTCTGTTTTCATTGCTCTCTCTGCCAGTTTAGAGGCAAGAAAGAGGGAATTTTGGCTTGCATAAACTAGCTCTGCTTTAATGTCCCAAGTAGAGAGGTTTTGAAGACAGCWCTGGAAGTGTGGACATGTCACAGAAGATGCTTATCAATTTTCAAGGTTGGGCTTCTGTTCTTTGAGACCAGAACACTGCAGAATCTTCCAGGTATGTGGATTCACTCACCTTAGCGTAGGTTATTAGTTTTTGTGCATGGACCATCACTCTCTTTTTTCCTTTTCTTTCTGTTTTTTATTCTTTTCAGTACTAGYTCTGAGTTGGTAGTAATTGGAAATCCCTATTGCACACAAACACACACACACACCCTAGCTGATCTCCTGCTAAGATCTACAGTTGTGAGAGAACAGAAAACACTTGATTCTTGGCAAGTATTCTGCAGTGATTAATGCATTTTATTTGAGTGAAACACAGCTATAAATAGCAAAAGACTGGATTAAGGTGCTTTGTGTCTGTGTGTATGTGTATGTGTGTGTGTGTGTGTGTGTGTGTGTATATATATATATAAAGTAGCATATATAACATATATACATATTAACCAGATTTTGTAGCCTTTATTTTCTCTAAGTGTGTTTACTTTCTACTTTAAGATGTGGAATCACTTGGTTTTGGTTCAGTTATTTATCTCAAATCCCCTGGTGGTTCAGAATTTTGGAGATTTACTCTGGTGGAAGTTCCCTTGTAGATTTCTAGTTCATTCTCGAGCAGAAAGTGCTAAAAAGCCTGCTGCAAAAAGCATAATCAGCCACAGAGGCAAGGAGTAGGCCAAAATAAATGGGTAGGAGGTAGTTTTCTGAATCTCTTCCAATTTAAAGAGCCTGTTTGTCACTTTTGTGGTTTGGAGGACAATGTTTTTGGAAATGGAGTAGGGGAAATGTAGCTGGAAAGGGAAGAGATGGCTTTAAAAATCAGCTCACCTAGTTCTCCTTGTTGGGCTGTGTTTTATGGTGCTCTTGGACTGGCAGCATTCACATTCCTGCAGCTTGGAGCATCTTTCCATGTAAAAGGATGGTGTGGTTTTGTGAGCCTCTTGGAAGACTTTCCTTTTTCACTTTTCCTGGAAAAAAACATTTGTGGGGACTGAAAATATATATTAATATTTATTTATTGCCCTGTAAGGCTATTTTGGGATTGATCCCTGTTCTCTGTGGCAGGGAACTGAGCCTTGACTTGTCCAGTTTTCCAGAGCTCCCCGCGTGCAGTTCCCGCTGCAGGCGAGTGTGGGGCAGGTCCCTGGGAGCCGGCGGCTGAGGAGCGACGCCCTGCCGAGATTCCGGGGCCGCTCCCGCCGGAGCACCGCTCCGGAGCTGGCAGCGGACGTCGGGCAGCCGCGGCCCGACGGCCACAAACGCCAGAGCCTTCGTGTCGGGTTGCACCTTGGTTGCATCACTCCAGCAGGTGAGGCACTCACCACAGAGCTGGGCATGGGCTCTCTGCGCTTTACTCCAGATACGGAGAGAAGAGTTGGCTCCTCACGTCCCTGCCAGCTTCCAGGAGATGGGTGTTACCTCGGGATCAACTCGTTTCTGTCTCCTCAGTGAGGCACCTCAGTGTGTAGGTGGGGTGGAACCAGGCAGGTGCTCTGCTTGTGCACCTTCTGTCTGTGCAAGTGAATTCCTCCCCATAGGAAATGCTTTCCTGGGAAAAGCTTCGGTGCTGCAGCTCCTCTGCTAGTGGTGCACAGTAACTCTGTAAAGGCAAATTATGGATGTGAATCTCCTCATTGCTTATCCTGGAAACAGGAAACTTTTGTATGAGTTCTCCTCTAACTTAGCCTTATTTCCTTTGGTCTCCATGGATTTCTTTGTAGCAGAAGACCAAAATTTGGATGCGAGGTTCTGTGGAATGGAGCAGTTGTGAAATTGCAATGGTTTGTGCTCTCCCTTCTGAGGCAGTATCAGGCAATACCTATGCKGAGATTTTGGCGAGAGGAGAGGGAAAAGGTATGTTACTTAAAACCAAACCAAAACAAACCATTTGTTTAAAACACCTTCCAAAGTATGTGTTTGTATGTGTTTTATATATATATATATAAAAAAAAAACCCTTCAGGAATGATTTGAGTTTTTATGATGTAATTATTTAGCTGAACTGGAATTACAGCTCTGTTTACAGGAGTCTTAAGGAGTTTCTCATGGATCCAGTGAGAACGTTGCAACTGCATCACAGCTAAAAGAAACCACCACCATAAAAATCTTTGTGGCTTCTCAGCAGGTCCTTACAGGAAGGCGAGTGCTCATCAGAASCCTGGTGCAGTTCTCACAGCCCGCTGCGTGTTTACGGCAGGTCTCCCGTGCACATACTGGCACAGCCTGTCTTCTCTGGTGGTTTGCATTACCACACCTCCTGGGGTGGGTGCCTGTCTCAGCACAAAGTGGAGGGTTCAGTGCAAGGCTGAGCAGCAGCCCCTGTCTTGCCTCTCAGGGCATATCTCTGGGCACACAGGGCACAGATCCTCACACCTACCATCGTGGTGGGGGTTCAAGTGCAGTGCCAGATGGAGAAATCATAAGCAGGCAAATGGTGGCAAATCTGCATTCCTTGGTTTGTTGTTGCCCTGGTTAATTGCTTGTAAGAGAGGCGAGGGAAAGCAATTGCTTTGGAAGTTTATTTGTTGAAGAGAAAAGGATGGAGATGGATCTATGCAGCTGATGGGGAGGATACTCACATTTAGAGGTGAYCATTCATAGCTTGCTCAAAAGCATGGTCAATATTTAACAGAATTCCAGAGTTAATCATAAACTTGGCTGTATAGCCATGAGACTTGATGTGCTGCTAATGATTAGAGACTGACAATTGTTGAAAGTACCTAAAAAAAGGGAGAAACAAAATTCCCARAGTTACGTTGTGATTTCCCCCATGTGCCTGTCCTTGTTGCAGGTGTATTGCTGAGCAACTTGACTCACTCCCAAGTGATGCAGCTAAACTTAACAGTCAGGGCAAGTAGGGCCTTAAAGAYAGTTCCTCCAAATATTGCTCCCATTGCTTATGAACAGAAATACACGGGGGAGGGGGAGGGTTGTTCTTTTTTTTTTTTTCCTGAGAAGTAATAAATCTTGTTTTGATCCTTTTGTGACTTATTTTCTTTTAAGATTTATGTTACTGTCTTAACTTCTCTTCATTTCTCTCTATTTTCCATCTTCAGAAGTGATAGAGATTGATGTGCACCTGTGCTCRTGCCCTAATGCAGCGGGAATCTTGCTGCAGAGGAGCAGGTAACCAGGAGTGGATGAGTCCCCTGGGAGTCTGCACAACCCCGAGCTTGGCCCTGGAGCTGGAAGAGTATCCATAAAAATTCCTGTTGGGAACAGCAGATCTGTGTTGGTGCAGGTCACTTGAGGATGCAGACTGAAGTCAACAATTGGATGCTGATGATTCCTGTAAACTGTGCGGCAGCTCATCATGCCTTTGGGAAACAGAGACCACTTTTCCTTCAAATGGGGAATAGGGAGGTGCACAGTGGCTGCCAGATGGGGAATGTAGTAGTAGGATATGATAGGATAGGACAGTAGGATAGTAGTAGGATAGAGGAGTTAGAGTAAGGAGGATAACCCAGCGTGGTGTGATCCAGTAGGCAGCTGAGCCTGCAAAGCTCCAGGGAAATCTGCTAGGGGAGGAAGCTTTGCCAGGGTCAGTGCATGGGGCCCTACTGTTGAGAAGAAGCAGAAGTCCTTGCTGATATTTTTATCCGTCCTGGGTGGGTCTTGCTGGATCAGGGAGAGATCAACAGGGATACAGGGGATTTAAGGATTACCAGGATATGGTAGTGGATGAAGGCACTTGTTTTTGGACTGTGCTTAGGATTGGCCCCAAGATTCTTCGGGAAAGCTGCTCCCTTTGAAATGCCTCCCTGGAGTAGGTCACTCTTCACCGGAGCTTTCCCCAGACCCCAGCCTCCTGTGGGGACCTGTGTGCCCCGTGGCTCAGTGGGAGCCAGGCAGTTTGGGAACTGCTTCAGGAATTGCTGTGGAAGGGTTTGCACTTGCCTTTCCACTCCCTCCTGAAGGGAGGAGGGGTAGGGAGACCCTTCTGCAGGCCAGAGYGGTGCTGGTGACAGGCAGCGAGCCTCCCGCTTTGGAGGAAATGGCAAACCTCGTTAACATGGGCTCCGTGCTTCTCCTGGAGCACAGGCAGCCCTGGGGTCTGTTTGTAGCCCAGCATATGAAGCTTTTTCAAAAGATGAGCTCATCCCTTTAAAACCACATGCATGCAGTCAGGAAGCGGAGCAGCAGCTGGAGGGCTGCACATGGGGAGCACATGTGGGGCTGGGCGCCGGGATGAGCCGCGTGTTCCTGCTCATCGGAGCAGTGTCCCCCCTGCTTGGAATGGTTGCAGCTTCGCTGGCCCGCGGGCAGTCCTGGAACATGTCAGCAGCGAGTGCTCTCGAAGTGTGCTGAGGGCCTCCTGAGGGAAGGAGCATCGGCCCTGCAGGAGCTCGGACAAGCAGACGGCCAGCTAAGGTCAGGAAAGTCTGGAGGATGAAGGAGATGAGGAAACCTGGGCATTTGTTACCTGCAAAGAGGTGGTGAATGGTGGGAGAAATCGAGTTAGCTGGAGAGAGCTGTGTATATGGTAAGAAAACAAAGGAAAAGAAAAAGACACTGCCATGAAGAAAAGAGTAGCCTTGTTTTTTGCTTTTGAGTTGAACTAGGCTATTGGTCTTCTGTTCTCCTGC